TTGTTTAAATAGAAATCTGAAATCTCCAAAGCTGTATGCTAAGGAGGCTGGTCCTTTGATATTTCGGATTCCTCCCCAACTCCATAATCTTTGCAAGATCTTACTATTGATTCCTACAACTATGATACAATCCCTTTGCGAAAACGAACAAGAGCTGTATATGCCGCTGTTGTGATCCTTCAGTCGACATTGTGAAACAGAGTACGAATACGAACTCCACATCCGAATGCGAGAACTATCAACTCGCACTCACCGTTACGCGTTCCAGTTTATTACGGGGGATTAATCGCTCAAGATAACGATCTGATCTGATCTAGATAGAGGGAAACTTATCTGCACCAATCGGATTGTTGTGAATCATCCTTTTTGAGCCATTGAGTTGCGGGTGTCCTTGCAGCTCGCTAACAGTGCTGGGCTATTTGAGGCATCGGTTATTGTGTCAGACTCTATTTGGAGATTCTAGACTTTCCTATGTTCTCCGGAGCTCTTTTGCTATGTTCTGAATATTGGTGTTTCGTATTCGTGCTTGGGCTGGATCCGTGATTCTAATCTCGAGAAGAAGCTTTAGATGCCAATGGTCCGCGGTTTCAGCCTTTTACAAACAATCAGACCGATGTCTACTTTTAATCAATGATTTAGCTATTTTTCCATTCTTTAAAATAAAATCGTGGAGGGCATCGTGTTCACCTTGAATAGCCCATGGTGTCGTTCTATTACGAGACCGATAAACAAACAAGCAACTCACACTGTCTGTAGCGGCTTCAAGGCCCAATACTACGCCGTTCTCACATACATCAGATCTAATAACCATTCATATGCTGCATCACTCTTATCACTGCTGCCCTTTCTCTTGTTCGACCTCGACCGAAAGGAGCCAGGCTTTAGAACACGCTGGCTGAACATGTTTCCTCCATTGCAGTAGGATATGGACCAAAAACACCATACCAATAGCATACCTCACTTATCTACTACATCATCACACGACTACTTTCATATTCCTGTATGAAGTTCCGTTATTTATTCCCATTGCGCGCGTTTTCGTACCCTCAGCATAAATCTGAGAATAGTTTCACTCTTAGATGGGTGCCTACATACCCTGGAGAAGTGGCTGACAATAGCCAGTGGATACTCATTTGCGAAAACGACGATACGATGCAGCAAGCTACAGTATTTCTCATGAATTGACCCCAATTCAGTCTAATTAACATGCAGTGTCTAGAATTGGGATTCCTTTGCGACGTGGTATAAAACAGGCGGCATCCCCAACTTCACCGCTTCATTTCGCCATCTCTTCACTTCCCAGCAACGACAATGTCCTTCAATATTGACTCAGTACCTGACTTTGATGACCTCCCTCCAGTTGAAAGCATGCCCAAGGGCTGTGCTTGGGGTGTTTTTGACCGTGATGGGAAGAAAGATCACGTTGGGACGCTGAACTTCCTAACTCCAGATGTTGTTCGAAATGCCGCTCTCGAGGTCAAAGATGGAGTGTCTATATCTCTGAAGTACATCTCCCAGAACCCTGCATCATACAATACTAACCCTTGTTAGCTGGCCACTCAATGCTATGAACAAGCTCAACATTCCAGGACGATTGTCCGCCCAGCACAAGATTCTCTACATACCCGAGAGCATGGCAGCGCTTCCTTTCGAACAGGGTAAATCGTGGGACGATGAATTATCTTTCAATACGCAATGTAGCAGTCAATGGGATAGTCTGTGTCATTTCCAGCACCAGGATTCAGGTCTAGCATACAACGGCGCGAATCCCGATAAAGAAGCATTGTCAATTGATTCAACCGAGACCAACAAAATGCCAACCCTAGACCATTGGCACTCCCGAGGCTGCATCGCCGGTCGTGGCGTTCTAGTTGACTACGCTTCTTACGCTGAAGAAAAGGGCATTGAGTTCCACGCTTTTGATGGGAATCGTATCACGGTTGAAGATCTCGAGGCTTGCGCTGCCCATCAGAACGTTGAATTCCAGCCCGGCGACATCCTGATCATCAGAACGGGCGCAACCGAAATAGTAGATAACATGAGCCCCGCTGACCTAGGTAAAATGGCCGCTGCGAAACTCACAGGTCTTCACGGCTGTGAAGAAACAGCCCGGTGGTTGTGGAACAAGCGCTTTGCAGCTGCGGCGTCGGACTCAAATAGTTTTGAAGCGTATCCCCCACTGAAGCCCGATGGTTCCATCGGCGGAATGAAAGATCTCGGTGAGTTGCTCTTTTCGTTACCGTTTTGGATAATGTAATGTTAGCTAACGTGTGCAGTGCTTCATATGTATTGTTTGAACATGTTTGGTATGTCAATTGGCGAGTTGTGGGATCTGAACGAGTTGGCGAAGTATTGTAAGGAGAAGAAGAGGTACTCGTTTATGCTTACTTCGACACCTTTGAATCAACCCGGATTGATTGGATCGCCCCCAAATGCTTTGGCTATCTTCTAGGGTCCTGGTAGGATGAGATGCCACGGGTGGTTTGGAGGCTGCGGGGGCATACAACGCACATCCGTTGTACAGAACAACAAGTCTGATATTACAGAGATTGAACGAACTGGCTATGGACGGTTCTATCAAGCAGAATCGACAAGCATAGGTCACTATAGTACTTTAGAGAGTTTGCCAATTGCTCAGAAGTATCTGCCTTAGCAGCTCTTCTTTTATTACAACCCCTCCATACGACCGCTTACACAAATGCTGACTTCTTTCTCGCAAGACTTTTATAAATGTCGACTTCTTTACCTATATGCTATTTTTCTAGCCTCTATCTTCTTCCAAGTCCAAACATCCTCACACTATTCCTCCAAGCCGCTTCCGCAACCTCATCAACACCAACACCCTTCAAACCCGCTACAACCAGCGCCACACGCTCCATATAACAACTCTCATTCCGCTCCTTAACCAAGCACTTAGCATCCCACTTATCCCTCTTCTTCGACGCCGGCAACGGTCTCGCATTCTCACAGTACCGCTTCACCACATCGCCCTTCAATTCTCCCCACGGCGCATCCGTCTCCAGCTGCAGTGCGTCGAGCGGTATCTTGGACACCATCTCCAGACTCTCTGTGCTCTGGAAGCTGAACCCGTTGACACTGATGCCTAGCCCGAGAGATACGAGCTTCTCCATCTGGCTTGTGCTGCCGACGAAGCTGTGTACTAATCCACCGCGGGGGAGTTTCTCCATGTATGGTGTGATCATCTCGACGAAATCGTCAAAGGCATTGCGGCAGTGCAAGAATAGTGGGAGATCCCAGCGATTCTTGACAAACAAGTCCAATTGCGCTTTGAACGCTTTCTTCTGAACATCCTTCGAAGCGTGTTGCTCTCTATCATAGTCAAGACCTAGCTCTCCAAAGGCAGCGATGTGTGGCGTATCCTGTGCAAGTGCACTGTTCACTTTCTGCTCCAATTCATCGATGTATGACTTTCCACCGGCGTCAAGCTCAGAAGCATGATATGGATGTACGCCGATTGTATAGTAACACTGCGAGGGGCGGAGCTTGACGATACTTTCGTTGTGAGACACGTCGGCGAGTGACATGCCCGTCAGCATAACCTTACTGACGCCAGCATCTTTGGCACGGTCTAGGGTGTTGATAAAGTCCGGTTCGTGGTACTGCTTATCTTCGCGGTATATGCCCTTGAACTCCTTCGCGGTAGCTGTGACAGCGACCTAAACTGTCAGGCATGTATAACTTTAGGGTGTTCAACTTACATCTGCGTAACGAATCTCAGATGATGGAGCTGCCGGAGCTGCTGCGGGGAAAGCACTCAGATCAATAGAAGACATGATTGTTATGATGATATCGTCGATGTTTAATAAGATTGTCAAATGAGGGGATAATCTCTAGGTAAAGTTTGAAAGAGGAGGTGCTGGGCTTAAAGTACTTCGAAATAAAGTTCCACTCAAAGGTCATGGAGATATCATGCTGCAGCTTAAACATAGCACTAGCTACGTACGAGGAGCTTCCATGGCTTCTACGCCCAATGACAGCAGCCATCAGACTCGAACCCTAAATATCTTGGCTTTCAAATTACGTCAGCCTCTCCATTATGTGGAGGTCTCCAAATGCGGAGATGTGAAGCTAGTCTGCTGTGCTGTGCTGTTCTGTGCTGGAGCTGAGCTGTCAGAAGAGGGGATTCACACGTGTCGACATGCCATGGTCACGCGAGTCAGTTTGCCTTCATCAGTTCAATGATCGGTCTGTTTCGAATAATACTGACTCCCAAAACCGCGGGCCAAACTCCCCATCGCCTCATCAGAAACAACACTCGTAGCCAAGACCATTCTTTTCCTAACCGCTTTTTTTGCACCCCAGATTCCCTCCAAGCACACCAGGTATACCGTGCTAAACCGTGAAACCTACGCGCCGAGCAAGCCTCCGATGCTTGCATGAACCACAGGGCGATGCCAAACAGAGTCGCTGTGCAGCCAGTCCTCCTATAAGAAGCCAACGAAATGCGCGAAGCCAAATCCCACCAAGTAAAAAGGGCTTGGTCTGACTACGAGAAAAGATTTGGAAGGAAACAGTGGGCGTAGCTTTGCAAAGACGACAACGTGTAATCATCACGCTAAAGCGACTTAACATATCCATGGTTAAAGACAGTGACAGACAGTCAAAAGCAAAAAGGAAAAAGCAGTGAGTGACTAAAGTAAACGCAGAGGGTACAGGCAAGTAGCTTAAATGAATTGAATTGATGACAATCCACCGGGGGACCGAAGATCTCCAACGCCAATCATGATTCAGACCCAAGGAAATGGAGTGAGCGTGGTGTCGTGTTGAAATCCTGAGCTGCCATAAAACTTAAAGTCATGATCCCAAATCGAAATCAAGGTTGGGTATCACTCGTAAACTGCCGAAAAGCAGATACAACTGCTACGCGATAGCTCATGATAAGGCAAGATAACTGAGCCCAAGGAAACATAAGTGCCGGGGATTGGTCGTATAAAAGCCCCTTCGTCAACGAGTTCGTGGTCAAATTACTGCAAATGGAGTTAGAACTCCTAAACATGTCAGTAAAGGGAGGTCAATCGGATGAGTCACGCTTACCTGGGGAGGCCCGCCAGGTCCGGGGGGTCCAGGAGGTCCAGGAGGGCCTTGGGGACCGGGAGCAGGGCCGCCAAAGTGCTGAGGGCCATAGTTGCCAGGTCCGCCGTGGCTGGGCATGCCCATGTAGTGAGGGGGAGGAGGGGCGGGGCGGTAGGGAGTGCCGACGCCAGAGTTGTTCTGAGAACGTCCCCAGCTGAGGCGCACGCGAGAGTTACCAATGGGGTAGCCCTGCATCTGGTTGATGGCCATCTCAGCAGCGTGGCGGTGGACGAACTGAACGAAGCCGCAGCCCTTGCCAGGAGGGATCTTGACGTAGGTGATCTCACCGAAGCCCTGGAAGAAGGATCGGAGCTCGTCCTCAGTGACGTAGCCAGAAAGGCCACCAACGAAGACGGTGGTGTTGTTGGGGTCAGTGAACTGGTTCATCTGAGTGGCAGGGTTAAAGCCACCATAGCCGAAGCCCTGCATACCACCTCCATTCCACATCTGCTGCTGAGGCATACCACCCATCATGGGACCGCCGTTGTGGTGTCCTTGACCACCAAAGCCGTGGTTGCCACGATTCTTGGGGGTAGCAGTAGAGATACGCATGGGTCGGTTGCCGCAGTAGACACCCTGCATCTCAACAAGAGCACGCTGCTGGTCGTTCTCGTCGGAGAAGCGAACGAAACCATAGCCGCGGCTCTGGCCAGACATGGCGTCGGTCATGATCTTGGCAGACTTGCAAGAAGGGAATCGAGCCTGGAAGAGAGAAACCAGGACGTACTCGTTGACCTCGGGGCCAAGGTCGCCAACGAAAATGCTGTACTCGGGGCCACGATCGTCCCTGAAGCATGTTACTAACAATTCCACTAAGCGTTTGGGGAGAGCACATACCGTCGGTCAACGAGACCACCACCAGAGGCCCAGTTAAGCTTGAAGGAGCGCTGGCTGTTAGGAACTGGCTTTCCGTTCATGCCGAGGGCGTTGGTAGCGGATTCCGGGGACTGGAATTCAACAAAGCAGTAGCCAGCGTTACCAGAGTTCTTGTCACGAATGACCTTAACATTGACAGTTTCATGAGCGGCAGACATAAAGACACCCTTGATAAAGTTCTCATCCATCCAGGGCTCGAGCTCTCCCATCCTACAATAGTCAGCACTCGCTTGTACCATGACAGCCAGTTACTACTTACCAAAGAGTGGTCTTGGGAGAATCAGGACCAGAACCAGGAGGAGGGGCAGAGCCCATGTCAGGAGCGGGAGGAGTACCGTTGGGGAAAGACATTGGGCCAGCAGGGGCTGCGTTGTTGGGGGGGACACCGGCGAAATCCATAATGCGCTTTGCAAGAGTTAACACCATGGATAAATACGAACGAGTACCAGCGAAGAAAATTACAGCCAAGTGCAAATTCGCAAAAGAGGCGGAAGAAGGGAGGAGGCAATGTGGGGAGAACGAACCAGAGTCGAGAGAACCAAGCACGAGCTTTATATGTTCAAGGAAAAAGCAAGATGTTGCAGGGCTTTACAGAGCAGAGCAACAATAAAAGAAGACTATTCGTGAGTCAGCAAAATGAACTGAGCGCCCCAATACGAAGGCACTGGCAGAGATGAAAGTTGTGCCGTGACAAAAAAGAAATGCATATAATGTGGGGGAAAAGTGAGTATGCCGCCTCCATCAGCCCGCAGCCAAAAAATACAATCCACAGCGAATCAGAAGCGCCGGGCCGAACAAACAGGGACGAAAGCTCCAGGTGTGGCCAGTATTGTTCCGAATGAGGATTCCGGGGCTTGGGAGAGTGAATCAGAGGTTCGAGGCTCTTGAACCTGGTGGATCCCTTCAGTTCCATCTCGTGAACTCTAGCTCCGCAAACTGAACTATGGCCGGAGTGGTTTGTCACCGACTGGTGGGCTTCCGAGGCGCATCGAATGATGCGCTTCAATGACCTTGGTAGGGGCTGATCGTCCATATGCGGGTGGCTTTTGAGAGGAAATCATCGCGATAAGGCAACTTACCGTGGGTAGTAAACTCGTACACGTCGTAAAAAAAGCCGTAGAAGAGCTATCAGCAAATATTAGCAACGCTGTCGAGGGCCTCGAAGGAGCGTGAAGAAGCGAAAGGTTGATGCAAGGTCAAGAAATCATTGCGACGTGGTGCGCCTGCATGTGGGAAGGTGAAGGTTGAAGGTTGAAGGTTGGAGCTCAGGCAACAGTGGCTTGCCCATGCAGCTCCTGCCTCCTCAACCAAACAACGAGGACCAACAAGTTCCTCTCGAGGGGAAATTTTCCTCTTCTTCAAAGTCTCGCTTCCAAATGCAAAAGGACACATCGATATTCATCAAGACCGTCCACCAACATGACAAGGTTTGCGAGACAAGTCCATGTGCTTAGGCAAACAGTCACACAAGGCAGCGAGTGGCAACATCAGGGAGAAATTGCAGAACGTACCGTTCGAGAATCGAGTACCGAAAGCACACCGAAGTAAGTCGCTATTTTTGGATCGTAAGACCTGCAAAGCTGATGTGAGCGGTGCATTTCAGCAGTGCCAAATTGAATCCTCCTACCTTCACGCCGAGTCTAATCCTTAAAGAATATGAATCTGATAACCGAGAATTGGACTCCGAAAAGTATTCGTACAGATGCGAATCAAGTCTCTAAGACGCCGTCACGCCGGTATAAGCAATGAAATGCTTCTGAGGAGAGTGATGGGGATGCGAAACGCCAAATCGTCGTTCTCACGGGGCAAGGTGCTTTACCAAAGATTCCAAAGGAATGTGGTAAGGTAGCTGCAAACGTTCCCGAAATGAGCTGAACCTATGCATTTGTTAGTCTTCTGCTGGTCCCCCAAGTGCCGATATCCATGTTGGTCCTGGAAGCTATGATTGGAAGTGTCGAATTGGTCCTGACGTTCCCCAGCCTGGATTGGAAATCTCCAAATTCTGTGGGCAAATTCGTCCATCCTCATTGGTCGTTAAGTTTGATGCAGGTCAGACACCGCTTCAACGAACGCTTCATTTGCTAATGGGGGATAGTCCGCGGATAAGTTATTCGTGATGCCCGGTCGCAGTATATCGGAGAACAGTCCTTTGACAACAAGTGCCAACATGATGCAGGCATTTCCATTCATGGTCTTGTTTCCAGGAGGCAAGGCATCCCCAAAGATCCTCTCTCTTCGGCGTCATGCGTTCTTCAGAGGTTCCAGGATTTCAGCATCCCTATTTCCGGAAGTAACGAATTGTTCGAAATGGCAATAGCTTGCACCTTGGTCACCAAGAGCTGGCGTAAATGAGCTTATGAAGTCGGCAGCCGGTCGACACTCGATTGTCAGGAATCGAAAGCTTGGCATGTGACGCATTGTATGTATCGTTTCAGAAGTCGGCAAGAAACTAATTGCGCTGCTGACTTCTTCGGCGCTGCTTATCGATATGGTCGCTTCGCGGATGATCGGAACGGATGAACAGATGCGAAGGGAGAAACTGAGTGCTGCCCAAAAGTCGAGTATAGCATGGAATCTTTGAATCAAAGCACATTCGAAGATCCATGGAGCTGGATATATTCTCAAGGAGAAACTTGTCGATGGTCGTGGGCGCAATGCGTATGAAGCGTCGTTGAAGCTGATATCCGGCCCAATCCCACAAACCTCCCTCCACCAACCACGAACACCAACAGACGTGCAAGGAATCGACAAGCAACAAGGGAATGAAAGAAAGCAAAACTCACTTTTAGGCGCCAACAAAAACAACAGTAACTGTCACAGCCAATTTCCGAAACACGCGCAAGGGAAGAGCCGTGAAAACCGTGATGAGTACAAAGATGGATGAGGGGAAACAAGAAAGAGAGTCGTGGGATGAGTCGTAATGCGGGAGACAGAGAGAAAAAAGACGAGCTTTTTTTTCTTAACCTTGCCTTGTTTGGGCCTTGGTCTTGGGAACAATCGGGGGCACGCGGGGACGAGGGCGCCGGTAGGGGAAAATTGTCGACCAGGGGGTGTGGGCTGCCGTATCCGCTTACAAGGGGATCTTGGATCTTGGTGCAGGCTTGCTAAGGGTGGTACTGAAACAGCCCAATGGACGAATGACGCTGTGAAGTCACTGGGCGAGTGACGGAGCGGCTGCAGGTGCACGGAATTCAGATGAGATGATGGTAACGGTAGCGTGGACCTGGGCAAGCAGGCGCAGTAACGGACACTCCGTAACACAACAAAGCGTTCAAGACGATTGCACAAGGGACAGAGACGAGAAGACGATCAAGCGGTTGCTTCGGGAGAAGATAAGTTTACGCAAGAAGTTTAAGATGGGAGGGGGGATGGAGGGTCTCTACAACATCTTAACAGAGGAGGGGAAGATGGCCAGGAAGAGGGCTGTTGGAGAATAGACGCACAACATCGAATTACATTTCCATTGGGAGTCAAGAGCCCAGAAGAGGCTCACTACGAAGTGGTGGGAGCCAGTAAGGGTGGGCGTGGCTTGAGAAAATGTGTGTGTCGCGATGTGGAGAGACTGGAAGGGATGGAAGGGAGGAGAACGAGAAGGACAAGGACAAAACCTGTGGGCCTTGCCCTAGCTGCTCTTACGCACAGTATCGACAATTTAGTTCGGGATGCATACACTCACCGGACTTCCTACGGCGATGGCGATGGTCAAAGTGGTTTGAGACAATGCAAAGCTCGAGTTCGAGCCGTCTACTCGAAAACTCGAGGCTGCAATGGTATTGTTTGGGGCCCTTGCTGTTTCGCTTGAGCTACTTTTCGAACGGCCAAACTCAGCCATGTTTGGGCCTGGTTACCTGTCGTGCTGAAAAGCATTGTGTGGCTCTCCGCAACCAGGGCTACCCTTGACGGCTGGCGTGGCGCTATCTCAGTGCCTAGTGCCTAAAGCGACACAGCTGGGCACCGTTTGGACTGGAAGCTGGACAGTGAACAGTGGACTTTGAGCGCTGGGCGCTGGAAGCAGGACGGAGCTTGCGAGATGAATGAACACAACCCCTGTTAAAACAGCCCTGCTGAAGTGGACCATGAAATCATAGGGCATGAGGGTCGATGGCCTGGAAAGTAGCCCGATCTATCAAACTGCACTGTAAGGACAGCCGGCGATAGACGACCAACGGAGAGCTGAATGCAGGGAAGGTGAAAAGATCATTGTTGATCATCGTGTTGTTTGTTGCATGGAAACGCTCGGGACAATTGAGCACGGCATTGAATTCATGCAAATGGCCTGTCAACTGAGGTTGAGCGACCATGAAAATGGAATGAAGGGAGCGTCCAGGGCCTCGCTTGTTGGTTTCACCACACAAAAGCATTACAACTTCTTGTTGCGGATGAAGCGCGCCAGCAATTCACGAATGCACGGCTCACTCAGATCAGCGACAATGTTTCAACATCTCATTTATCTGAATATCTCCGGACATCGTATCCTGATCACCAGCCCTAGAACTTAAGATTGCTATCGCAACAAGCAAACCCTAGAATCCCTTGCTTGCATCAATTGCACGGCTCATAGTGTCGAATGCTCGTCATAGCGACGTGCTACAGGCGAGCTCAGAATAGAAACGCCGAGACAACCCATGCGACAGGGCCTTAGAACTTATCCATTCGTTGGCAGAAGACCTGAGCGTAGGCAATCGCAACTTGATCTTGTTCGGGCATCTTTGCTTTGTTTTTAACAACAGACAGGGCGGGCATCATCAGACAACGCCCGATCCTTGAGCATCTGGTCATTTCGAGATATCACAGCCAGTAGTGACCATACTCTCGATAGCTAACAACTTCAACGTCGCCTTCGCACAGTCTAGTGCTCATTACGGTTGACTCTCCGGTAACAAAACAGGAACCTCGACGCCTTCCAACTCAATTGCATGCCGCTTATGCATGGACCTCAGAGTTGAGGCTATCTATCCCTGGGTGACAAACTCTCCCTGAGAAGTGTTAACTCTAACCTAAAGTGTGGCGCACTCCAAAACCCATGTCGAAATGCCCTGTTCTAAGCAAGATCTCGGTCTGCTCTCGCGCCAAGACAGGAAAGCCCTTCTAGACCGCACCAGGGTTGAGCCGTCTTGGTGATAGCGTGTGTTGCCCTTACTTCGGGGTTAGATGCCAGAACAGCAAAGTTCTCTCGTATATCAGGCAATATTTCGATTTTGCGTATCGTGAATCATAGCACTGTATTGAAACAACTTCGTGCCGAGGTCACCTCATGGAACCATCTGTACTGAAAGCGTGCCACTACAGCACGCCGTCGATATTGCTAACTCAACAGCTCAACAAATGGGAGGTTTTTCCAGGCCTCCGGGAATCACTGCTAGTGGATCCTTTGCACACCAAAGATTATTCCTGACACC